ATGATTTATTCCAATTTTACAACAAAATTTATTGACTTACTTTTTATTATTGATAATTATAATGATTTGAAAAAATTTAAGAGCAGATGTGATGCAAATTTATCAATAAACGATAAAGAATGTGTAAACTGACATTATTTACATGATTTTAAATGTTTTTAAAAAAAAATATTAAGGGATATTTAATTTCTTGAGTTAAGGAAACATAACCTCATTTCAACAAAGAATGAAATATGCAGTCTATTTTATTTTAAAAATAATATTTTCCACCTTAGAATGATCATCAGGCTTTAGTTAAAAAATAACTGCGAAAAGGGGAATACAAAATAAGAGGTACCATAAAAACGTAAAATTTAATTATTTTACCATAAATATTTAGACAAATAATTTAATTCTTTATAATGTTGACAGAATTATGAACTAACTCAATTACACTTATATAATTATTGAAAAATACTGGATATTAAGACTTTCGGAGAATTTGAATTTATGGGACCTCCATAGAAAGAAGTTGACCCAAGAAATAATTAAAAGTGAATCCCGCTGCGAAATAATTAAATAGTATATTACTCCGTCTAACACTATTATTAAAAAGCTAAGAGGCAGTTCATATTTGCCCTTGGAGGATGCACAATGGGCCTAATAAAGTCTAAATGAACCCTTCCTCCATACCTCACAGATTGGGAGCTTTTCATAAAATAAAGTGAACCACTTTTTTTTTAATCAAGTTTATTTACCTACGCCACTGGATTAAGAAACAATTCTCAAAAATTATAGCTAGTTGGTATCAGTTATTAATGCCGATTCGCACATTGATATTTATTAGTAATCAATACTTTTAAATAGAAATAAATAACAATAGGGGGTCTCTTATTGAAATCGTTGAAAGATCGCCCGCGATCTCCGATATCAAAGGCCGCAGCACCACCGAGAGGTAGGTAGGTAAGTAACTCTTGAAAGATCTAAATTATAAGATGTTATTTGTAATCGTGCGTTTAAAAGGTAATAAAATTAATCTGAATGCTTAGTTTAGTTTATTTGATGTCAAATTTATAATAATTGGGAATAAAGGCGAATGATGGCCAAATGTTGTTGACCTTGATTCGATAATGATCAACTATGATTGAATATTGAGAGATATATGTGTAATTATTAATTGCCATACAAATCAATAAACGGATAAACCCTACCATGAGAATCGTATATCAGGGGCAAAGAGGGACAAGTACCCCCTACATCCTTACTGCAGTATTTAAAACAATCAGGAAAAAGAGTTGGTGAAATAAGTTCGAAATACAAATGTTCGTTTGCCAACGGTAATTTACATAACCTGTGCGGCATGGAGCTATGGCGGTTTTATTCAATTTTAAACTTTTTTAATTTCGAAATTTCCTTATTCGAATTTTAATTGTTTGCACTAGGTATTATTATCAAAATGATTATTTCAAATGTTCTAAATTGAACTTTTGTTATTCGAACTTATTTCACCAACTTTTGGGAAAATCCATAATTTTTTTTCGAGTTTTTAAACATTACCTTTCTATTTCAAAATTCTAGATTTTTCCCCTTACTGGCGTATTATGTTACTACGATCATGTACTCTAAATAATTGATATATTGTTACAAGTAGGAGGTGCATATTTACATGAGTTACACAAAACTGCATTTTCAGCAGTTGTTCTTTTAGTTTTTTAAATCTGTTTCGTCAACATTTTAAGAAAAATAAGCAACGATTAAATTATTGGCAGTTATGAAGACTGTCACTTTATTTGCTAAAATTAGGAAAATCAATTATTTCTTATTTTTATAAATTCTTTAGAGATTCCCACTATTTTTGAACCCCTGATGTAAAATCAAATTAAACATAAAAAACACCAGCCACATCAACTTCCAGTGAACGGGTTTTTTCCAGTGCAGGAAACATAGTTTCGGCGAAAAGAAACTGCTTGCTGCCGGAAAACGTTGATAAGTATTTGTTATTATTTCTTATTTTATGTCCCAATTAATTATAATTTATTTTTGAATGTCTTTTTTACTTGAATGTAGTTTATGTTTTTGTTTTTACTTTCCTATCTGTATACAGATATAAGGAAAGTATAGGAATCATGATTTTTTTTGGACCTCGAGTTTTCGACGGATTTTTACGTTTTGAGGTCCCCTGAATCCGTTTTGACTATTTTCGCGATGATGTCTGTGTGTGGGTCTGTGTGTGGGTCTGTGTGTGTGTGTGTGTGTGTGTGTGTGTGTGTGTGTGTGTGTGTGTGTGTGTGTGTGTGTGTGTGTGTGTGTGTGTGTGTGTGTGTGTGTGTGTGTGTGTGTGTGTGTGTGTGTGTGTGTCTGTATAACGCATAACTCATGAACCGATACACAGAAAAACACCAAATTTTAAACTTAAGCTTTGTTTCAGCGTCTAATGAGCTGATTAGATTTTGGGCAGAGTCGGAACATCTGGGGGGGTACTTTATAGGTGGTCATTTTTATATTTTATGGAATATATCTGTTATTTACGTTTGGAGAAGAAAATTCTTTAAATAAAAGTTACTTCTTATATAATTATCTATAATTTTTGTGTTATGCAAAATTTTCCTAAAATGGTCCGTATTCGAGAAATTTGACAAAATGTAAAAAAAATAATTTTTTATAAAAATTGTTCAAATAAAAGTTGTTTGTAATATAATTCTCTATAATTTTTGTCCTAAACATAATTTCTCTAAAATGGACCGTATTCGAGATATTTGAGAAAATGTGTAAATTTCGAAATTTGAAGAAAACTCAAAAACGGATAAAGGAAAAAACATTAAATTTTAAACTTAAGGTTTATTTCGGCCTGACGTGAAATGATTAGATTTTGGACAAATTCGGAACATCTGGGGGGTACTTTATGGGAGGCCGTTTTTATATTTTATGGAATATATCTGTTATTTATGTTTGGAAAAGAAAATTGTTCAAATAAAAGTTACTTCTAATATTTTTATCTATAATTTTTGCTTTATGTCAAAATTTCCTTAAATGGTCCGTATTCGAGAAATTTGACAAAATGTGCAAAATTCTGATTTTTATGAAAGTTTTTGAAATAAAAGTTGTTTGCGATATTGATCTCTATAATTTTTGTTTATACATGATTTTTCTAAAATGGACCGTAATGAAAAAATTGTAGGAAATTTAAATTTTTCAGTATTTTCGTTTTCCATGATTATCTATAGAAAAATGTTTCGAGGTAGATGTATGTGGAAAATGTATATATTTAGTTTATCCTCTAAACATTTTTAGAGATGCTGCAATAGGTTAACTAGATAGGAAAGTCATGTGTTGGACAAATCAGATTTTTTAGTTTTACCTACTTACCCACCCAGTGGAAAGTGAGTGACCTTGTGTCCTTTATTAAATTTTAAATAAAGTTTAGCAAAAGTAAAATTGGTAGTATTTCTATTATTCTAATTTAATTTTTATTTAATGAGTGCCTATTTTAAAAAAATCAAGCATGCCCTGCCTGGTTGTCACGAGTAAGGAAAGGTGAAATAATAAGTAAAGTGACCCCATTTCCATTGAAAACAAGGGCTTTGGTGGATGTGTTTTGCCACGATTATGCCGGTGATGGTTACAGTTAAACCAGTAACGGATAAACCAGTGACGGGTTTAACTGGTTACGGTTACGGTTAAACCGTCGAATCCGGTCTAACCAGTCCGTTTCGACTTACTCGGTTTGATCGGACCGGTTGTCCGAATAATCGGACCGGTTAATCGGATATCCGGACGGGATAATCGGACCGGTTAACTGGATAATCGGACTAGTTAACCGGATATCCGGACCGGTTATAATATAAAATCGGATTATACCCGAAACCGGTCAAAATCAGTAGAACCGGTTAACCGTTCATCACGTCAGGAATTGACAGCCTTACACGTTACTTTATAAACTTGGTTATTTGGGAATTAAATGTCAGCAGTCAGAATTGTCAATTTCAATATTATAGTCGAATCTAACTCGGTGACAAAACATTCTCAATTTAGTGGTGAACTTTAAATTCGGTTCCATCTACCTATTTCTATTTTTTATTTATTTTGCAATATCCCAATGGTTTCTTAATTAGACTACCAAATACACTGTCAAGGTCATGTGATTAAGATACTCTGAATAGCTACTTAGGAAAACATAGCGCCAATTGCTGAATCTTAGTGGGCTAAAAAAAGACCATGGCACTTGTGATACTCGCTAAGAGGCTGTTTATCTGTCAAAAGAGTGCTTGAGATAAACTGAGTATATTTGGCTAGAAACATTGGCGTACATATTTGACGTATAGATTCTAAATGAATTTTTTTTTTTAATAAATTTGGTTATCTATTAGGTAATTAATTTTTTTAACCTATCTAGCTTATAATGAATTTCTCTTATTTTACACTTATTTAGCGTCATTACTTAAAAGTTCTAATTCCAAACGATTATTTTTCTTAATTTAACCAGTTTTTGAGATTTTTCGAAAGAGAAAAGATTTTTGGACTAGTTTTTGTCTATCTTGGTTTTTCATTTATTTTATAATGAATTTCTATTATTTTACACCTATTTAGCTTCATTACCTTTAATTTCTAATTCAAAACGATTGTTTTCCGTAATTTAACTAATTTTCGAGATTTTCTTGAAATCGAAAAGATTTTTGGACTAGTTTTTGTCTTTCTTGCTTTTTCATCTATTTTATAATGAATTTATATTATTTTACACCTATTTAGCGTCATTACTTAAAAGTTACAATTCCAAACGATTGTTTTCCGTAATTTAACCAGTTTTCAAGATTTTTGGAATCGAAAAGATTTTTGGACTAGTTTTTATCTATCTTGCTTTTTCATCTATTTTATAATGAATTTTATATTTATTATATTAAAAACTTTCAAGTTTTTTTTTTACTTCTTGTAGCATTACTTAAAATCGTAAAATATATAATTATTCCTCTGTGTACAGCCCTAAACCTAAAAACTCTTTACTAATTACATATGTTTTGTTTCAGATATGTCGAGATTAGAAAAATCGCCGCTATTAGCCAACGGTTACAATCACCCACCGCACTTAAGTCACATGCAATTTATGCAATTACCGCACCCGGCCGCCGCACATTCGGCCCTTCTGTCACCCGCCATGCCGCACAATTTGGCCAGGCCCGATGGGTCGGTCATCAAGAACCAAGGGATGCCTACCATGGAAGCCATTGCGAGGTACGTTCATATTTACTTGTTTTAATCTTATTACACGTATAATTTTACTTGACAGTCTAGAACATCCAAGAGTGTCTAGCCACTGCTCCATAACTTTCAGGTCCACATGCATATTGCATAGATTTCGACTATTTAGTGTCCACTGAGTGTCAATATTTCACTTGATATGTGTTTTCGGCCTCGCTGGGGAATTCTCTTTTTTTTTATATAAATTGAAAAGTATTTACATACAAAGATAGGTTTCATTGGGTTTCATCGGGCTTCATTTATATTTTTAATTCATATCCGATTTAGAGAAAATAGTTTTTAATCGAATTCGTCATATAAAACAATATTTTTGTACAAGTAGTAATGCCAATAAGTAAAAAGATGCTGGCATTTATATTTATTGCAACAAGATTACTTTGACTTTCGTAACCATGGAAACTTAATATTTTTGGTGTAGGGGAAGGGAACACTTGATATTATGATTATTTCTCAAGAATCTCTCAATTGCTTGAACATAGTAAGTGTTCAATGGCCCCATAAAAGATACATCCAGTGGCTGCAACTTATGACTGCAATGTGGTGGAAGGCAAACTACATTGGTGTAAGTGTTTCCTAGCCTTTTTAATGAAATCAAGGTTCTTTGTGTGTGTGGCGTGTCCATATATAGTATTAGAAATACAGGGTCTTCACTTAATGGTTTAGCAAATTTCAAACCATTCATAAAATATCTCAGTTTGCTTCCACCCTGAGGGGTGGCAACAAAATGCCGTCCCAGGTGGCGGCACCATCTTCTTTTATTCGCTATTTCGGAAATATGACAAAAGGAGGGATAAAATTTCTACCCGCCGATGCACAAACTACAAATGTAGAAAGAGTGCCTCTTTCGGCAGTTGTGAGGGAGCCAACTTGCCGTCTAGCTTTTAGTGAAAAAACTTATGAGGAGTCAAAAGTCCCGTTTCATCGACATTGTTAACCTTATGTGGAGAACACAAGTAGTTTTTTCTTCTTCTAAAATGTAGAAGAATTTTGAGACAGTTGTTTTGTTGAAGGCTTGGACTTCTCAAAACAATTTCGCGATGTCGCTTTCTGAAGCCGGCAACCCAATCTTTCCCAGCTAATTTCTTTGTATGATTGAACGTGTTAGGAATATTAATCTTTACTGCCAGATGATAAGCAAGGCTACGTAGATCTGCTACTGTAACTTCAAAAAAGCGTAGCGCCATGTTCAAAAGATGATTTACAAGCTCCCGTACTTCTTCTTCAGTAAAAACAAGACGATAACGCCCTAGAAATTTTTTGTTCGAAGTAGCTTGCTGGTTTTTTTCTAGAACACGCCTTTTTAGAGTGTTCCTCGGCACGTTAAATTGTTTGGCAGCCGTTTTCCACGGCATATTATCGTTTTTCACTGCCCCGATAGCTCGTTGCATCGCCTTGGGGTTCCAGGTCTACTGCTGGCTCTTAATTTTGTATTTGGACACCATAACTGATTATTAAATCAAAGTAAAATGTGTTGACGCTAAAAACAGCGATACCAAATACCAAAGTAAGCTTTGATTAATTGGGATTAAATATAACGACGTTTTTTATGGTTAAAATATTTACCATTTTTTATGAGACATTACCGATATTAACGTACAACATCTATAAATATTTTTATTAAGCATTATTCCTATAAAAATATAAAACATTTTATTTCGGGCAAAGTGGACACCATCGTGTCCTTTTTGCCCTCTTTGACGCCAATAGATAAATGTGACTTACAGGCCCTAACAACTAACCTTATTTATTACTTCGACACACACATTTATAGCATTAATTGTGTTGTTTTAAGTGATTTAGGTAAATCGTATGTAATTTGTTATAAGTTATAATAATTATTACAATCTACTTACCTTACATCAGTAACTTAAAAAACACGAAAAATTTTAATAATTTTAAACAAGTACTATACTAAACAACACCAAACGTTGGTATGATAATGTTGACGATCTATTTGAGTAGTCGAGGCATTATCGTAATATGATAAAATAGTCAGTGGCCACTTTATCCGCGATGGCCACTTTGCCCATCCTTCCCCTAGTCGTTTTGAAGTTTGAACTGTCAAATAATTACTTTAAGATGGATTACAAACTTGAAACTTGAGAGTAATAGTACACGGAAAAAAATGTGACTACAAAATTTTACTACAATGTTGTAGTAGTAGACTTGTAGAAAAATACTTAACAATTTGTAGAAAATTTTACTACAATTTATAGTTAAAAACTATTAATTATTGTAGCAATTGAATTGTCGAATAAAATGCTACAACAATAGGAAAGAATTCCACAATGTTTAGTATATTTTACTATTATTTGTAGAAGTAGAAATTTATTACAATTATCGTAATTACTACTACTAACTTCTGTAAAAATTTGTACAAATATTAATAATTATCTCTACAAAAAATAGTAATTTTCTCTACAAAAAATAGTAATTTTCTCTACAAAAAATAGTAATACTTTACATCCCTTCTTCAAAAATATTCTATAATATTGTAGAAATTCTAAGTCATGTGAACAAAACAGAATTCTGCTATTGGCCAACGTTTTCTGACGTTGATCATAAATGGCCAGACAGCAGTAGCCGTTCGCCATGTTCATATAACAAAGCATGGTACATATACGAGTACCTATAACACATTATTATATTATAAGCACCGATGCGTTTGAGAAAATTTTAATAATAAATTCTATTGGTGGTAAGTACATTTATTATTGTTTCTGAATAATTTACCTTTAGATAACTAATTTAAATAACCTTAGTAGATTATTTAAAAAAAATAGTTGTGGTCAACGATCGAATTTTGTGCCAAGTTCAATGATGTTTTTTGTCTTAATTGTGACATACCTACTTTCTCATTTTTGTTAGTTATCTGACTTAGTCATTAAATATCCAAATCAGTATAAAGGTGATAAATATCCCCGTTTTAAGGGTATGAACAATTCAATTGGTATTAATTTTTATTTCATATTTTTCAGGTGCAGAAAAGCCAACTGAGACTGAGGGCGCTATTATTACTGTTATTTATTACATAATGTAATTAAGAATTTGTATCTTTTATATTAAAACAATAAATTGAATATTTTATTAAGGAACATTTTTTTCTAGGTTATAATTATAATAATTATGGAATACTACTACAAATTTTATTAAAAATTACTACAATTTGTATGAATTTTTACTATTTATTGTGGTAAATTTTCGTATTTATTTTCATAAAACGCAATACATTTTTAATATAAATTCATACAATGAATAGCAAAAATTATAACAATTTGTAGAACAATTCTTATGATGCATTTGAATCTTTTTACTAAATATTGTAGATAATAACTCTACAATACATTCTCCACAAATATTTGGAAATTTTTACTACAAATTGTCCCTGTCCCTATATGTACTATTTATTGTAGAGAAAATATCTACAATTGTAGTAATTTGTTCTACAATTTTTTTTCAGTGTATCACTCCATCAGAGATGAAAGATGTGGCAAACTCGCAATTTCAAATAGATCCAAACTATTTATGAGAAAAAATAAACCGGTAAACAGTTTTCTTCAACAGAGAAAAACAACTTTCTCTTTTCATGGTTAAAAATGGCCAATAACAAACAATACATATCATCTTTTTTACCAGTTGAGCAAAAAATGTAATACCCGTGTTTTAGGGGGTTATTATTGACAACCTGTATTATTTTTAACAGGTCTGTTATTTTATAAACACACAGAAATTACAACCTGTTCACAAATAACGTGTCTGTTAAAAATAACATTACTTGTCGATCATAACCCCGTTAAATAGAGGCTCTAACTGTAATAACATAGGGACCCAAAAGGCTAAGGTAATATAAAATAGTTTCCAAACCATGGGGACTTACCTGTTCGAGTGTAAGGGCAGCGGCTGTCACTAGCTCTGTTATGAGGAAGGGTCCTAGGGATCCTCTGCTCACCTAGTGGCAAAAAGAAAAATAATTAAAATAAATAATATAAACAAATGAAAAACAAACTAAAGATAAATAAAGAATCACCATGTGAGAGGTGGGAGTTTTAATTTGGCAACTGGTTGAGGAAATGCATAATGATCTAATTGGTACACGTAAAACAACTCAACAAATCTAAAACTCTTCGGGTTTAAAAGTCCCAACAATACATATCATTTAGGCAAGGTCATTTTGTCAGACTTCTGGCCGAGGAACTAATTTGCCCGAAAAGCAGCTTTTTCTACTGACAATTTCAACTTAGCAACAACAAATTTTAATTGCCTAATTTTCTTTTTCAATTTTAACTACCTAGTAATTATATATATTTTTGAGTCACAAATTTTTCCAGGGTATTTCTTTTCTTATATATTTCATTATTTATACAATTGCGTTTCATATGAAAATTTCTCATTGATGCTGCAACGAATTCTGTAAACATAATGTATTTCTTATTTTGTACGAAAATAACCAATTTTCAATGATTTGAGTTTTGAATAATTCAGAAAAGTATATTCCATGGCCAGGAAGCTGCGAGGAAAAATTCGTTTACTTAACAGCCCAAGAGGGGGCTGGTGGCGTGTTGGAAGCAAAAGGTAAATAGCAGAAAAATAAAAGACAGGGGTGAAATATCCGGGGTTAATCGTGAAAGGAGGGTGATAGACCGACGTCGTACGTCTTCTCGCCGCTATAAGAAGCTTACTTGACTTCTTTTGGCCTCTAACTTACACTTAAATTATCCAATTTTCACTTACAATGGATTAGGAAAGATATTACTTTATCTCTTTCTGTAATATAAACCCAGCTCGAGCTTGTTTATTGCGTTTAGTCTTGGACTGCGAAATGAAATTTACGAACAGAAAAAAGGAAAATAAAAAGGTTTTTCCTTTTTCTTCCTCTCTTAGAAGATGTTTAGGATCATTTTGAGAAATACTAGTAACCCTTTTAAAACAACGGTCAAGATCATACAGTACACAAATTAATATGTACAATTCTA